CAAAAAGACAATGAAACTTCTGCTTCAACTAAGGCACTTCAAATACTAATGTGATATAGTAATTCACTCATTGTTTGCTGTTGCAATACTAATTAATTCGTTTCTAGTTTCATATGAACGAAAAAATGCAAATATTTAAATAGTAGAACTATGAATTTTGGTGTCCATTACTCGAAAAATTGAAAATAGTGAAATTATTCAGCTTTGCTAGATTTGTATTCTTTCCATCACAGATCCCATCAAATTGCTCTCTGCATCGTTGACCTCTAGAGCAGCAGAAGAGAGTTTGACGTCGAAGGAACCTGGAGTTGATCAAGGTGCGTATATGACAAACAGTTCTGTCTCTAACAGAGATGTATCGGTGATTGCATCGGTATTGGATAAAATATACCAATATTTCCATTCATCTCTTTGATCTCGTCTATAATGTGTTGAATTATAAGTTAGATTTGGAATATTAACAACGTAAAATAATTTTTGCTGTTAAATCTTGTACACGCACACTTTCTTGTCCACTGAAGAGCTTTGAATTTTAAGCTGTGATTCGCCAACGGTATGAAATTCAAACGTAGCATAAATCACAGTTTCAAATGGGATTTCACTTCCTGAAACTAAAATATTGAATTGTTGAGCGTGAAATATTGTATATTCTTCTAATGCAGTGGTTCCAAACTTTTATGACTCATGGCCTCCTCAAGGGGCTTTTAGCAGTAATGCCCCGTTATTTATCATATATTTAGAGGGTTATTCTGATTAGTAGATTCCGAATCCCAAATAAAATGAGATAGTTCATGCTCAACAAATTGAAAACACCCTGTTAAATAACCTTATCAAGCAATGAAACTAGAATTAACTAAGAGTTTACTTGTAAAGGGCAAATTAAAATCATTGTGGCCCCCTTGGTGTACCACAGGCCTTTGTTGGGAACCGATGCTCTAAATCAGAACTACTCAACTGACCGCGGTCCGCATCCGAACCTTTCTAGTATTAAATTTGGACCGCAGCTGCTTTTTCACTTTGAATGAATCATTTTTCATTTCACAGTCGTGATGTAATGCATCTTTCGCTAAAGCACCGAAATTAAAACTGCCATATCAATATAAGTTTCTCAGAGCATCAACTCACTTGCTTACCCCCCCTAGCATTATTTACTAATCAGCAAGATATGGCGTAAAAACTGAAGTATTACTGCTGCTTAGATGCATTTTCTATAGATTTCTAGAAAAGGTGGTGAACAGCATATTGTTTCATGGCTGAACATGTTATTTGTCAGTTTTACTTGTATTTTAAAATTAAAAAATAGAATAAATAACCCGATTTTGAAAAATATTATATGCTGGCAGGAAAGGAAGAAATGCAATTTCTCATACTAGTGATTGACAAATAACTTATTATTGTACAGAAGGTAACTTATGAATATTTCGCTAAAATCCTTGTGAACGTTGTGGTTTTATAAAAAATTTTTTTGAAAAAATCGTTCTTCGTCGCAACTAAAATATCCTAAATTTTCGGTATTAAAAATATATCATATCTCTTTTGAACGGTGCATTTGAAATTTAGTTTGGATATTTAAATTAAATTTTTTGTAATTTTTTAAATTTTGTAGTCGGACCTTTGATGAAAATAGTTGAGTAGCGTAAAATGAGTTGTTTTGCTATGCCTTGTTTGGAACCTTGTTGTGAAAATACTGCCGACATAGTTCGTATAAAAGATTCTGTCACAAAGGCAAACCCACACAAGCAAATGCTCATATGCGATCCTTACTTCAACAAAAGCAGTTTGTTGGTTGATCATTTTTACAGCTTCCTAATTTATCTAGACTGAGTAAGCGATAAAATTGACAGGATATCCGGAATACCTCCATTGCTTCCTGACAAGGTTGTTAAGTTTTATAAGATATATTCCAAGCCTGGGCATACTATGAACCCCACTTCATATGCTTACTCTAACCATTTGCCTACGGTTATATTCATCTCAACCCAGAACATATCATGAATACCACTTCATATGCTCACTCTAACAACCATTCCCAACCCAAAACATACTCTAAACATTTTCCTGATTTGTTTCTTTGGATATAAACATAAAACTGCAAACATTGAAATGGTTAAACTATTGATTTTGTTGTCCCATACTCGAAAAATCGAAAAAAAAAAATAATTAAGCTTTGCTAACATTGTATTCTTTTCATCACAGATCCAAGCAAATCGTTGTCTGCATCGTTGACCTCCAGAACATCAGCAGAGAGTTTGACGTCGAAGGAACCTGGAGTTGATCAAGGTACGTATATGACAAACAGTTCAGTCTCTAACAGAGATGTATCGGTATGGCTATCGGTAATTATATCGGTATTGAATGAAATATACCGATATTTTCATTCATCGATTTAATCTCGTCTATAATGTCTTGAATTACAGGTTAGAATACTAATATTGGCAACGTAAATCTTTTTTGCTGTTAGGAATAAATAAACTTTGTTTAAATGAACTTTTAGAATTTTAAGCTTTGATTCGCCATCTGTATAAAATTCAAACCCAGCATAAATCACAGTTTCAAATGGGATGCCCACATCCTGAAACTAAAGTATTGAAATGCTGAGCGTCAAATATTGTATATTCTTCTAATGCTTGGTTACACACTATTTATGGCTAATGGCCCCCTCCAGAGGCTTTTAGCAGTAATGCCCCCTGTTTATCAGGTATTTAGAGGGTTATTCTGATTGATAGAATCCAAATCCTAAATAATATGAAATCATTTATGATCAACAAAGTGATAAAAACTGTGAAATAACCTTACCAAGCAATAAAATTAGAAAGAACTAGGAGTTTACTTGAAAAGGGAAAAAGTAAACCTGTTGTAGCCCCTTTGGTAGGCCACGGGCCCTGATTGGGAACCGCTGCTCTGAAGCCGAGGTGTGCAATCGGCGGTCCGCAGGCCAACTGCAGCCCACAACGAAATAAATTGTGCAGGTCACGGAGAAGTGCCAATTTTGAATGGTGTGCAAAACGAATTTTCAAGTTACCGTAGTTCAATTTGGTATGTGCAAGTAATTGCAATCCTTTTGCATCGTACAGCCTATACCCGAGTACAATTTATTATCTATGCCTTTGTCGTTACAATGTTTTTTTTTGTGCTTGCAGCTATTACAGAGCCCATGTAAAATAAAGGTGTAGCACGCAGTCTCCCCCAGATATTTGTATCTGGCCCTCTCGAATTATAGGTGGCAAACCACTGCTCCAGAATAGCGAGTAAAATGATTAGTTTTGTTGTGCCTTGTTTGGAACGTAGTTGTGGAAACACCTCATAGAAAATTCTAACACACGAGCAAACCCACATAAGCAGGAGCTCATATGTGAGCCCAGTTACTTCAACTGAATTTAATTTACTATAAACTTCAAAAGTTTTTGCAGCCATTTAATATCTTCATAATTTTACTTTGATATAAAATTTAAACCTAAGCACCAAACCAGTGTCGAGCATGACGAGTTAAAATGTCTATTTTTCATCGACCCTCTACGGCAGAGGTTCCCAAACTTTATTGGACGCGGGCCAAATTTAGAATCGGGAGAATGTTCGCGGGCCGGAAGAGTTTAGCACCCGAAAGTTCGCGGCGGTTTAGCTGGGGTTCAGTGGATTCACTTTCATTTGACATTTTTTGCAATCTGTTTGTTTGACTCATAATGGCGCCTTCAGAACTGTACTATTTCATTGGCAAGGAAGACAAATCGCTGAAGTTTGATTCTTTGCAATACAGAAATATGAAAGCTACCATTTATCCCGGAAACGTCTATTTGCAAAGTCTAGTTTTGTTTGTTTCGTTGATATCTGTAAGCTTTCTTATAGGGCTGATAACTTAATTACTGCTCTTTGTAATCCTACCGTGTTTCCCTGAAAATGAGACCAATCCCGTAAATAAGACCTAGCCTGAATTTTAAGAATGATTTTAATATAAGCGTCACCGTAAAATAAGACGTATAGTCAGTAGCATCTAGTCGATAGCAGGAAATCTCCCCTACACGTTGTAAATGATTAATCTAACAAGTGTGAAAGAGGAAACGTGCCATTTAAGTAAATGGATATTGGTTTTCATATATTTTATATTTGAAAATCTTTGTAATTTTTTTTGACTCATGAAAATAAAAGACACGCCCCGAAAATAAGCCCTAGTTATATTTTTCGAAAGAAAATTGAAATAATCTGTTCTATTTTTGGGGAAACACGGTAATACCGGTACGTATTATTGAGATATCAGCATAATTGAATTGTTACGCGATAAACTGTGGTAATGACATAACAACATCGTTTTACTCAAGTTCGGCGGGCCATTTTAAATTGTTCTGCGGGCCGGATTTGGCCCGCGGGCCGCGGTTTGGGAACCCCTGCTCTACGGTAACCGCAGTATTTTTTAAAGAGGCAGTTTGTGGTTGAGTATTTTGGTAACATCCTTATTATTGTAGAATTGACAGGAAATCTTCATTAACTCCATTGCTTCCTGATTGGCTGTGTTGAGTCTTGTGAGATATATTCCAAGCCAGAACATACCATGAATCCCACTTCATATGCTTACTCTAACCATTTGCAGAAAGTTTTATATCTATCCTAACCCAGAACATACCATGAATCCCACTTCATATGCTTACTCTAACTTTTTGCCTACAGTTTTATATTTATCCTAATCCAGAACATACCATACCATACCATGAAAATGCCTACTTTACCATAGGTTCACTTCTTGTATTCATTACTACTTTTTTACTGGCTGAAAAATAAACTAGACTGTAACTCGAAAAAGGGCTTAAAGATATGCAGGACTACATACTCCTAAATGGAGGCTATAAGTGAAAACCACCATGCAATGACAATCTCATGTGTCATAATATATTGCTCTCATCAAGTGCTACTGTATGTAAAGAAATACTGCTACCTTTGTTTTGTTCATTTCCCTCAATTTCATGTTAGCAGTGACACGATAACACAACATGTAATTATTATTGTTACAGATCCTTCTCAAATCTCTGAAAAAATTTCTCCCAAACCAAGTGCGGTGGAAAGCAGCAAGGGTGGCAGTCCATCACCAGCTCAAGAGAGACAGAAGGTGGCGAAAAGTAAAGGTAATGAAAAAAATGGTAAAATAAAAATAAAGAGATTTGGAATATGTTCTTCTGTTAGACAATTTGACACCTGTTGTTGCATTACACTTGAATCTTTTGTACATCAGGTGTCGCGCTGGACGAAGCCAAGATTTGAACATTTTCTTTATGAGCATCACTAATTGTAGTTCTCTGCTTGGTCTTTGTAATGTTCATTTTCGAAAATAATTTTTTGCACGCATATGCACTTCCAGGCATCGATGGTAATTTTTTACATGGATGGAGATTTTCATCAAGAAATTACTTATAAAAATCAAGCAATGACACATCTCTTGAATAAAAACAGGACTTTATCTCCTCATTGCATTACATGCAAAAATTTGCACCTGCCATTTTGTTGCTAAATTTCCTTGAAGCATGGCTCCTCCTCTTCAGGTCATGAGATCAGTCCGGTATAGGAATTGTTATTTTTGTAATTGTTTCAGGTACTTTACTGCTTGAAAAGCATCACTAATTCTGCCCTACATTCTTTAACAACGTCTTTCACATGATAGGTCATGTAATTTTATCCATCTTTACTCGTTATAGATCCTTCTCAAATCTCTAGGTGTTGTAGGCTGCATATCAGAGGTTACCTACTTTCTAGAACTTTGCCACCTTCATTTATTATGTCGAATGTTTTCATTCACAAATTAAATTTTTTTTTACCAATTAACACTAGGTCATGTCTTTTACCGCTTCAAAACGTCTCCGGCACCAACGCATCTTACCACTATACTTCCACTTGTATCCATACTCTCTTATTCCTAACTGCGACTAACAAAACTTTTTTATAAAATATGATTATGCCGACTTATCGGCTTTCCCTCGCGGGATAAATATGAAAATTCTATTCTGTTAACCACTTAAGTCAGGCAATAACTGTATTCATCTACTGTACAGACTTTCGCTTCCATTCCCATGGTTACACACAAAATGGTGCTCGGAGTCGTTATCCGTTTTTCCTTGGATCGAGTGTCCATTGGGTATGAAGCTTCACCTCGACTTACTTTGGCATAAACTTGTTTTAACAATTATTGTTTGATTTATATATTACTATTTTTATAGGTTAGGTGATGTGAGCAATATTCAGTTTAGTTTTGTTTTTTTGTCAACAAAGTTTTCCATTTGTGCAACATTCATCTCCTTAGCACATGTATCCTAAATACTTCAACTATGTAGTTATTCTGAAATGATTTTGGTGAAAGTTGGCGTAGTTTAAAACTTGGAAGAAATTTCATATATATTGGAAGAAAGAAAAATTCTATGGGAACCAGTTAAATGTGCCATATTCATGTATACATACATATGTTTACATAACCCCTACCCACTGTTGCTCACATTTCTCTCTCCAGTACGAATATCAGAAAACCTGATCTTTCCAATATCGAGTATTTTTATCATACTCTGTTTGAGTTTGTCGAAAAATGTATTATTTTAAAATTGAGATTGACCTGATAATGCTCTTATAGTATGGCAGCATTATTTCTGTTGCTTTGTAATAGATTCGATAATTAATTAGTTAATTTATTAAATGCCGTCACATTGCCTAACTTTGCACAAAACGGCCTTATGTTGAGCTATAACTTGAATATTTATTTTCCAAATGGTTCCAAATTCCCTAGAGCTCACAGAAAGTTTTGAAATATAAAAGAGCAAGAGTCTCCTATTGCGTTCATAGTATGGCAGCCATATTTCTGTTGTTGCAGGCTCGGATATTCCCAGCACATCAGGCAGTGGTCAGAGTGGACGTTCGGTTGAACAGGGAGTTGAGAATAAAGAATCCGGAGTTGATCAAGGTAATGCTGGTTGTGGATTTGTTCAAAAATTACTTGTATCAAACGACTTGAGTTTTGTATCAAACAATGTTAGCCATGCATGTTAAGGATATAAGTTTGTCTAACCCCTTGTTCAGAGAGGAGGTTTGAAAATCTCCTAAAAGATTAATCTTGCTATCAAACTGTCTAATCTCCAACAATCCACCCTTATCTAAGTGTATTTCATATTACAGCAAATAGTTTGTGCCACTTATATATTTTCTCTAAGCTTATTCCAAATTCTCTATTAGTTTACCACGCGCTACAAATTTTCAACCATGACGCAACATCTAGTTCCGCAGCAGGTACAAGAAAAAATAGCTCTCGGCGTCTTCACTTAAAATTGTGTTTGAATTTTATTTCTCCTATTTTTGTAACTTTATTACTGGCTGGAAAAATGAACTTGATTATAACTTGAACTTGAATTCTTGGTGCCATCTAACCTGGCACAATATAATAGGATTAATATGAAAAACCCAACGAAAAAGAAAATGCTTGATTAAAATTGTGATATTTCTGTTGCTGCAGGCTCGGATACTCCCGGCACATCAAGCAGTGGTCAGAGTGGATGTTCGGTTGAACAGGGAGCTGAGATTAAAGAGACTGGAGTTGATCAAGGTAATGCTGGTTGTGGATTTGTTCAGAAATGACTTGATGATTTGAGTTTTGTATCAAACTATGTTAGCAATGCATGTTACGGATATCCGGTTCAAATGATCCTTTTTATCTATGACGTAATAATCTTGATGGGGAAAATTCTAGTCCTCCAAAAGCATGGTAATATCTCATAGAACTATTTGTCCAACTCCTTGTTCGAAGAAGAGATTCGAAAAAATGTTGGAAAATTCAGCCTGCTACCGAACTGTCTAATCTCCCCCAATCCTGCCTGATCTAAGTGTATTTCTTACTAAATGGGGAATGTAGAGGTAATGAAAGAAATAGTAGAATTAAAAGATAGAGATTTGGACTATGTTCTTCTGTTTGGCTTTATTTTCACTGGGATGGATGTGGGATATTCCACTCATATAAATATCCAATATAATATTCAAACTATTAGGTAATGTTGAATGCTTAACTCTTTGAACTCTGACGGCTCTGAGCGAAGTTACTCGCTCACCCTGAAGGTCCGCGGCGCGGTATTGGTAGAACAATAAAATAAGTCTAAATACTGGCTATTTGGCACGCTTATAACTTTTTACCAATTATAGGTAGCACGTTGTGTGACATTTCAATCGAAAGGAAATTTTATCGTGCATTCAGAATGTATTTTCCATTTTGAAATACATTTTGTCAAAATTAATAATATTGACCCTAATCTAACAGTCATTTTTCTGCATGTATGTGAGTTTTGGCTTGAAATTTTGTTAGTTTGGTGCAAAATATACTGCCAGTATTTGATGTTCATAAAGAGTTTTTTATCAGCTTTTTGTTGATATTCGAATTACTATTGTGGCTGCCATATAACCAATTTTATATTTAAATATTTAATTGTGTATCATTGTGTCGGGTGAACAACTTCGATAAGCGGCCATGACGCACTGATTACGCAGCTACGCAAAAGCCGATCACGTGACTACCGTCATGAAGATGTTGATAAGTACGTTCGAAACGTATTGCGTGGCAAAATGCGCAAGATAACTTTCACGACGACGTTCTCAGCGGGACATCGGTCGCCGAGTTTCGATATGATATTAACCCTGTATGGATTGAAGTACCGAAGTCGAGTAATGCGTGCAGTAATAGCGAAGTGAAGGTAAGTTAATATCGTCATATAAAATTTCACGTGGAAAATGTTTTATTCGCCCATAAGTATTTGTTCAAATATCAACCAAAATAAGTACTTGCCTGCTCTGCAGATCAAAATATCTGATTGTACGAATGTTAGGCGAAGCAAGTGGATGGATCAATATCTGAGAGCACTAATAATGCAGAAAGAGCAACTCTTATTCCAACAAGATCATATGCGTCGCTAGAACTAGATACCCCACCGCAAAACGCCAGTTCTAATAATAGATGCGTCGTATGCATCAAAATTTACATTATTGCCAAAAAACCAACCCATCTGCTAAAGACAAAGCGTTGCTGAAACGATGCAAGACAGTATATAAGTACAAATTCTGTAATGAGTACCTATGTATAGGTAACGAAACCAACAACCATTGGTATAACTGGCACAACAAAGTGCAATATTGGATTTAGTCTGCATAATATTTTCATGTTCTTCATTGTTCCGGGCATAACAAAGTGCAATATTCAATTTAAAAACTTTAGCAAGCAGTCTTTTATGTACATACATTTTTCATGGTCTTTATTGTTCCGTTATCCGCTAATAAAATCACAATCTTGTTCATATTGCGTATACGCAACCACAACTTAATGGGGCTTGAGCGGGCAGTCAAAGTCAAAGCGTAGTGCGAATTTTGAATGCGTAGCATCGGGTTAATTAATTACTTCCTGCGGACATTTAAATAATAACATCTTGACGTAACGTTATTGCGGATATCGTCACGTTTAGTTGCATTTGCGTAATATACGTAAAGTTGTGCGTGACGAGACGTTGCCTCTCTTCAATGAGAACATCAATTTGACGCAGCGTCGCTGTTAAATCTACAGATAATCTAACATATTTGGCCATAAAATTTGAATGGCTCATCGTAAAATCGTTTTGGATACGTATATAAAAAGCTATTCAAATTCTCCACATATATTGCCGATTGAATATGTGGCTATTTAGGCAAGAAGTCGAAATTCTTTATATTAAATATTTGTTATCATACAATAATTTCATACGCACTTTCAAATTGCCAATTTTACTGAAACATCGTATATTAGAGCACCGATATTTACAACATAATTAGTCCCAATAACAAGCTTTCATGCAATATAAAATTTATTTAAATACTCTTTGTGGTTCTTGAGATAAGAGATCATAAAGTTGATTCCCTCCGACACGAAAAACAAGCCGGTAAACCGGCTTGCCGGGGCACGGAGCGTACTCAAACAAGCCGGTAAACCGGGCTTGCCGGGTTCAAGCGGTTAATTGTCATAATGCAAAACTTAGACATTTAAGTCTACCGGACAGGATAGCTTGTCAAAAAATGTGGCTGAACCATGTAAGTTTGATAAACCAATATAAATTCATTGTAAACACCCAAAAGCATGTACACGGTGCACCACAGCTTAGGAATAGGAATAGGATTTACATATTTATCCCGGGGGAGAGGAAAGTCGATAAGGCGGCTTAATCATATGGCGAACCACGGCCTCTCGTCCGGTTACCAGTCCAGGTCGGGTATGGGATTAGTTAGCCAGGTATTTGTTTCAGATGCACGGACTTGATTGTGACGGAAGCCGTAACCGACCAGCGGTTTCGTGAACCACCCTACGGCGGCGAGGAGTACAGCAATCCTCTCGTACATAATCATCCCCGCATGGGATTCGAACCTGCGATCTCACAAGGGGTAATCAGAGATGCGGTGGCGAGCGTATTCCCAACGCTTAGCAAGATGTGCCACACCGCCAAGCTTCTCATTAATTAGTTGCTATTTTTATTACTCCTAGCTTCAAATATAACATAGATATTCATGGCGCTTGTACATGGCCTTGTAAGGAGTGAAAGGCTCAAATAAGCATCATATAATAAGCCATGCCATAAGCTCTCATCTCCTCAAAACAACTATGATCTATTCTCTCCTGGATGCCTTATAATATATTTAACAAAACCAAAATATACCGTAACGATCTTTAGTAAAATTCTTCTTCGATTCCTCACCATGTACCACAGTCTCCAGTCCGGTTACAATGGAAATAATCAGCCATTTATTTGTTTCTGATTCATGGACTTGATACTCGGGGTAGCGTAACCGACCATCAGCTACCAGGCGTTGGCAACCTTTTGTCGCTCGCGGGCCAAAATTAGGGGCTGCAAGGCTTGGTGGGCCGCACATATTTTATATGTGTTGAGTTATAAACGAAACAGCACACGAAGACTGCGACATTTTGTGAACTAATATTCAGTCGTCCTATTATAAGAAAAAAGTTACAAATGACATGTAATTAGGGGTGGGCAAAATCGAATATTTTTTCGAATCGAAAAGTTCGAATATTTTTAACGAATACCGAATAGTCGAATAACGAATATTTTTTCATACACAACAGGAGGTCTACAACGTCGGTCGATACTCCTTTTAAAAATTAATGGAGACATTTAAAAATCGGCTAAAAAGCGTTTTTTTACTGGTTAATTTCGTCATAATCGCTGATTGTTTTTGTCACCGTGACCGTTTTTGCGGCGATATATAATCTATAATACCGCCCTTTCCGTTTTTTGCGAGTATTAATTCTTTCGGGTCGGCGGACATCGGTGTTTATATTTCGGGTTTACCGGTGCGTTCACGTCGGCAACAGCTGTTAAAATCATTAAGGATTGATGTAAAAACCCAAATTAATATTATTCTCATTTTTATCATTTGCGTTGGCTTTCATATTACTTATCAACGTTTGTAATTTCACAATATTAAGCGAACGGTAATATTATTATCGATACCGGGATGTAGATATTTAATAAGACAATACCGTAATTAACTTTGCTATGCTTTTCTGTGGTGTCTATGTTACTTTACAGATAAATTCGCAAAGCTGAGAATGCGTCAATCCCGAATGTTTATTTAAAATAGTGACTAAATAATTCGACAATAAGGGCATTTCTGTGTGGCCATGACGAGATGATGTTAATAAACAGCATTACTTGAATAATAATTTACATATGCGACCTAATGCTGAAAAAAATTGCGCCTTATTTACTCTTGTGCCTAATAGATGGCCAGGCGCTAATTATAACTAACTCTTCCAAGTTCCGACGTTTTCTTTCAACAAACCGCGCGATCATTATGGCTAATATCGTTACCGAGTAATTCAGAATTTTATTTACGGAATTTGCGAATTCACTTTTACTTCTCTTGACAATTTTGATAATGCCACGCCCTATTTATTTGTGCAAAAATGCTCAAAATGTAACGAATGTAATCATTTCCGACGATACAATAATTCGTAAACGAGACAGTGAGCGTTGTTACATCGAAATCACGATGGATTTTATGCCATACTCCTGTTCACGATTTCTACACTCCACCCGTCATGCATGCCCCCACACTTTCGAAACATTATTTGGTCAAGAATGAAAGGGATTTCTAAAGAATTATTTGAAAGTACATTAAAGGAACTGTGTCCTGCCATTTCTTTCTGGTCATAGTTGTTCGTGTTATACTATGTATGGTTTCACGCAAAAGTTAATTCAACTTTTAATTTTCGTTAAACAAATTTATGTTTGGGTCATGCCTGAAACAGCTAATCACGTGCCGCCAATCATACGGAGTTTAAAATCTGGAATATTTATTTTAAATACCTCATCTGATTTAACGTTTCTAAATTTAGGGAACTGTGTCGGTACCTCTTTGTGCAATAGGGAATTGAAATAAACGATCGAAACGCAAAGAAAACAAATAACACCACAACGCAAAGACGATTTTTCAAATTTGTTGCTTTTGTCTTTTAGCGAGCATTGTAGGTGAATTTTCGCGCAATTCACGATCGGTTCAGAGACGTTCTGTGTCCAAGTGAAGCGACGCAGATCCCGTGGTACCCGATATTCGAATAGTAAAATGCCATTCGAATAATTTAATATTCGATTCGCTATTCGTTATTCGAATATTTTGACCGGCCCTACATGCAATGTAACGCTTTTCTCGACGGCACACTGAATGAAGCTAAGATTGGAACATTTTCTAAATGGGCATCACTAATCCTGGTTCTCTGCTTGTTCTTTGTAATGTTTTCAAAAATAATTGTTTGCACATATATGTACTTCCAAACATCGAAGTAAATTTTTTGTCAAATTTTGACAGAGATTTTCTTTAAGAAGATGCATTTTTATAAAAATCAAACACTGATACATCTCTCAAATAGAATATGAATTTTATTTCCTCACTGCATTGCATCTCAAGGAGCTCTATTTGAATATTTTCTGTGCTTTTGAAACCCTGCAAGACGCATCACATTTTCTGCGTGTTGCCATTTGTCTAATTATAATTAAATTGTAGGATGGTTGAACGAGTAGCTGTTTACTAAATTGTTAGGTTATAATATAATTCAGTCTAAACGTGTCTCACCATAGATTCTGTTATGTAAACAGTATAATCTACTCCTCGAGCGTAGATTATAAAATTGATTCATCGTCAAAACCGCTGCTTTGTCGCTATCTGGCCCGCTGGCCGTAGGTGCCGACCCTGGGCTACGCGAACTACGTCACGGCGGGAAGGAGTCCAATAATCCTCTCGCGTGTGATTATCGCCCACAATATTCAAACCTGCGAATACACGCAGTAATTTGGTGATCAAATGCTCGATGCGCCAGTCAACGAACAAAAGCAGGCTTCCCGAAATCACCCCCATATCGCCCCCTTCTGTATTGTTTTTGCCCACCGGTGGCGATATCGCCCACTTTGGAAAATACTGCTCTAAAACAGACATGGGCGGGCCAAATCCGGCATGTTGGGTTTTTCAATTTGACCCACCTGATTCTGCCACAACCAAATAGAAATCGAATTTTGATGTTTCGAATCTAGTTTCGACACGGGGCATATTGTTTTCTACCTTTGCTTTGTAACACTGTAAATATTGTTTATGAAATGTTATTTTTGATGTCACACTTACATGGCCCCTTGTCTAGGTGGGCAAAATTTTTGGCCCCTGGTTCAAAAACCTTGCCCTTCTCTGCTTTAGAGAGACTTACAAACTCCTTAGGGCCAGTGTTTTTTTTGAACCACCATGCTCTCATCAAGTGCTATGTATGTGAATCAATACTGCTATTTTTGCTTTGTTCATTTCCCTTAATTTCATGTTAGCAGTAACACGATAACGCAACATATGAATATGCTTGTTACAGATCCTTCTCAAATCTCAGGAAAAAGTTCTTCCAAAAGAAGCGCAGTAGAAAGCAGCAAGTGTGGCAGTCCACCACCAGCTAGAGAGAAACAAGGGGTGGCAAAAAGCGAAGGTAATTGAAGAAATAGCACAATTATAACAATGAAATTCTGCTACGTTTTTTTTTGTTTAGCTTCATTTTCCTCGAGATGGTTGTGCAAATAAGTTAACACATTCCCTACCTGATCTTCCTAATACGAAGTATATTAAACAATTAGAATGAATCCCAGAGTCTGTCTGGGAATTTGACACCTTTTATTTGAACAATTATTTTCTCCCCCGTTAAATCACGCTAGAAATACTATTCAATTATCTCTGGAATGTATTTTAGGCCTCTTTCCACACGAGGCTACCAAAGAGCGATATTGCTATTCTCCACGTTGGGCTGTTAAAGCATTTTTTTTTTAATTTTTACTTGTGAATTTTCTATCAAAGCCAGCCCTAGTAAACAGAATAGCGATATCAACTACTTCTTTATCTTCGTGAATAGTATCTTACCTCCCATTTTCAATGAAACAAGACTGGCAATCTGAATCCAAACCAGACATGAGTAATTGATCTTGAAATTCACGCAGTTGTAAACACAGCTGGGTTTTCACTGAGATATGACATAAGTTTTCCTGCTATTCATGCCAAATACACTATTTATGTAGAATTAGAAACGTTATTTCGGTCTCTTTCTGTTGGTTCATTCAATCAAGTTCATTCGAAAAATTTGTTACAAACTATATGCTTTTGTGAGTATCTGACATTTTGTTTTGCGTTTCCCATATCTTATACATCTACCGGACGTGAGATGGCTGACATAGGAATTGAGTCTGAAATCTGGCAAGTAGTGAAAATACGACAGCCGACAACTCATTTAGTTTATTATGCGTGAATTAGCGTGAATGCGTGACCACATACCAGCCTGGCACAATGTAAGAGGATTATGATTAGATTGGAGTTCCTAAACCTCGTTCCTTGACAGCACTGGCTTCAACAATTCTCAAGTCTTAATGTACTCTGGTGCTTGTCTAGGACTTTGTTAACAGGGAAGGTGTGACAACACATCATAATATAATGTGCATATGTATCTGAGTGTGAATAATATGGGATATGCAAGCCAGGCTGACTCGTGTTTTTTCTGAAGTAGTTGTGGGTATTTACTCTTTCACACTACCGCTACGGTTCCGAAATAGGCTTAGATAGACATGAGGTAATGTTGAAATACTTGCATATTAGAACTCCTAAACCTAGCTAGCTATTTCCTCAACAGCAGTGACTTGAACATTTTGAAATATGTCTCCTAGTTCTCTGAATCCTAGGTGTTGCAGGTTATATATCAGTGGGTAATATATTTATCAATAGTTTTTAATTAATTGACCTATTTCTCATACAGATGCAACTTCACTCGCACAATCTGAGGAACAAGAGGGAGTGTCCAATGTTTCACAATTTCAATCAGCTGAGCAACATCCGATATTGAAAAATATTAGAAAGATGTTCAATAGGATTTTTAGAAGAAGTTGGTATAATATTATGGATGCAGATTTGAAAAAAATATATTTTCACTTGAAGGGTTGTGACGTAAATAACATACATGAGCAATATTTAGTTTAGTTTTTTCGCCAGCAAATTTTCTATCAGTGCAACATTCACCTACTCAGCACCTGTGTTCTTATAAGACAGTCTCACTTCAAATTTAGAAAATAATTCCTTTAAAAAAAATGTAAATGTCATTCTTGAGCTATCAAGTATCCTAAATACTTCAAATATGTGAGTATTCTGAAATTAGTTTCGTAAAAGTTGACATTGTTTTAAAACATGAGAGATTTTCATATGGAAATAATTGTGAGGAATAGTCAACCAGTTAGACGTGCCATATTCATGCATACATAAATAGGTTTAAACAATCCCTAGCCATGTTGTTCACTTTCCAGTAGAAATATCAGAAAATTCGCCATATTCATGTTGAATACATATGTTCACACAACCCCCAGCCACTGTTGCTCACTTTTATCTCTCCAGTATGAATTCTGAAAACCTGATCTTCCTAAAGGATTTTAATCCTATTCGATTCGAGTAGCATAAAAATGCAATATTTTAAAATTGAAATTGACCTGGTAATACTTATATACTATGAAGCCATATTTATTTATTTTTGTTGTTGCAGGCTCTGATATTCCCAGCACGCCAGGCAGTGATCACAGTGGACGTTCGGTTGAACAGAGAGCTGAAAGTAAAGAGTCTATAGTTGATCAAGGTAATGATGGTTGTGGAAGATGATTTGAGTGTTGAATCAAACAACGTTAGCAATGCATGTTAATGATATCAAGTTCCAAAGATTGCATACCCCCTCATCTATTTCGTAATATACTTGAAAGAATAAACTTGCTCTTGTCAAGTGCTAATGTATGTAAAGCAATACTGCTGCTTCTCCTTTGTTAATTTCCTTAATTTCATGTGAGCAGTAACACAATAACGCAACATGTAAATATACTTATTACAGATCCTTCTCAAAACTTGGGTAAAACATCTTCCGAACCAAGCGCAGTGGAAAACAGCAAGAGTGGCAATCCATCACCAGCTAAAGAGAGACAGGAGGAGGCAAAAAGTAAAGATAATGAAAGAAATGGTAAAATTAAAACAAAGTTACTTTTACTATGTTCTTCTGTTAGCCTTTATTCACCCTGGGATGGATGTGATATTCTGTCATGTGAATACTTATAGATCATTCGGTTTGTCTTTTAAAAAGAAAACAGCGGCATCTGGCGAACAGACAAAACTACCGGAAAAATTTGTTTTAATTAATAGTGACACAAGCCCAGAAAGAACTGCATTAGGTTTGAAGAGAAGATAGCTATAAAGCCTTTCCACACCTTCACTCTAAACAATGTACAGGTAGCTACTAATGTGCGAATTGCTGCTATTAATTTATATAGATTAGAATATTTCGAGTTTGGCATCAGCCACCTTACTGATAATTCATTACACCATTGGTGATTTTCGAATTTATCTCGAGGGTAAAAAAAATTGGTTCACTTCAAAGATATGTCGAACCATGGTTTCCCCTATAGTAGTGCGTTCATATTGCCGAACCCATCTGGATTAGGCTCTAAGTATCGTGAAAGCCAGTGGTCTCTACCAGGGGTGCACAACCTTTTCACTATAGACAGCCGCATTAGGTTTTGTGAAAAGTCTACGGCCGCCAGTGGGATCGAGATCTTCATGATCTATATTTATTAATTATAGAATTGAAATTTATTGATATCCATTCGGAAGGATGAATACTTATTTCCGCCGGGAATTACCAAATGATGCCAAAGAGGTCGCTGACAGCGTAACAAACTTTCACTTTGCTTATTAAGTTATAATTGCTGATATTATTCGTCAGCGTTTATTACTTACCGCAGGCATTTGATGAATCTCTTACCGCAGATCTTCCATATCTCACAAGTAATACTCACCCTTTCGGCGACTGAAAATATGACAGTAAATACTAAAACTGAAAGCGATGTTATAAATTATTATCAGTGTGACTTTTGTTTCAGGATTCCACGACAGATAAAAAAAATTTGGATTTTTTTGTATCGCCAAAATTTAACAATTAAATTGCTGTGTTGAAAACAATATCATAATTAAAAAACCTGGCTTTTTCAACGAGTGGCGATATCACGATCACTTTTCGAACAATAGAAACTTCTTTACATAAACGCTGAAAAAAAATCTAATTTCATCTGGAATTAAAGAACGGTTCTTTTTTGACGATATCCCGCTTTAGAAATATGAAAGAATATTTACAACTGTTACTTTTTTATAATACTGATAATTCATTCACAAACACACACCAGCACGGCCGCACATTACATACCGTTGGAAAACAAAAAAAAATTAAAATTACCTGCCACACCATATTAATAATTTTATAATGGTTACCACTGGCAAATTGATCAATTTTCTAAATGGGAGTGAACAGTAAATAAAAACTTATATCAAAAATATATTTCCAAGCTGATTATTATTGGAGTCAAATGCCAAATTGCCTAACCAAATTGGGTTGCCAGAATGGGTACATAAAGAGATGGGCTAGACCCAGGTTTCCCGAATTGGGATAACTGCACAGGGGGTCCGCAACGTGAAAAGAATCTGATCGATCTTTAATGACTGATTTCAGTTGAAAAAGCAATTGCATATTTTTGGTTGGGCACTGTATACGAATATTCATTGTTGCCAGAAAAAGCAATTAAATTTTTTACCTTTTGCAAGGACCTACATGGGTGCTCCCGAAGTATGTGAACCAAGATGGCGGACACCGGAACGTAGCGTGTGTATCAGGTTGGGGTTAGGCCATTATTTCAGGTACAAATACTACGGGGGTCACTCGGCTAGTCCCTGAACTCGTAAAAGATCTAAAATAAAGAAAACTGCAGTAAAATCATGGCTTAGCTCTAACCTGGTACACATACTACGTTCAGTGTCCGCCATCTTGTTAACATACTTCGGGAGCAACCCTACATGTGTGAGGCTGCGAGTTTGCTTGTTACAATCGTGCAATCAGTGAAATACAACCTCATCGGTAATCAGTAATATGCTAGGCTCATCCATCACATTAAATATCGATTGTGTTGTAAATGAACATTATCCTTACTCATTGGTTAAGCACGGAAATTAATACGATATAGGATGGGGGTCCATCGAAACTAAGATTCACAAATAGGGGTATGCGGCCCAAAAAGTTTGGGTTAGACCACTTCATCCCCACTTCATCACTCCTATGCATTGCAGCACTGACTTTAAAACATTTTAGGGATACTATGTCTAGAATTCTCTGAATCCTAGATGTTGCAGGTTACATATTAGTGGGTACTCTTCCTGGACTTTATCAAAGTGTTCTTATTTATCAACCTGCTTCCCATACAGATGCAACTTCACCCGCACAATCTGAGGAAGAGGAGAGAGTGTCCAATGTTCCACGACCCAAACTCGGTTCATCTCCATTTGATCCTCAATCAGCTGAGCAACATCCAGAGCCACAAGGGGCAACAGCAGGTGAAGGTGGGTTTAAATATTAAAAATATTGGTAATACTTCAATTAAGTAATGCCCTATAAAATATTTGAAAGTTGTTATATATAATTTTGAAAAGAGAGTTGGTAAAACATTATGGATGTAGATTACTGAAAATTTATTATCATGCAATGCGGCCTTTAGCAGCAAGTAAATTTGTTGTCAATCCATAAATTTTCTCAATTTATATTTCCCAAATGGCGTGGCGGTGGGGCTCATCGTTCTAAGCGTTAGGAATACGCTTGTCACCGCATCTCTGATTACTCTGCGGGTTCGCAGGTTCGAATCTCATGCGGGATAGTTATGTGCGAGAAGATTGCTGGACTCGTCCCCGTCGTAGGGTGGTTCACGTAACCGCTGGTTGGTTACGGCTTCCTCCACCATCAAGTCCATGCTTCCGAAAACAAATAACTAACTGATCCCATACCCGACATGGACTGGTAACGGACGAGAAGCCGTGGTTCGCCATATGGTTAAGCCGTATTATCAGCTTTCCTCTCCCCGGGATAAATATGTAAGTCCTATCCTATCTTATTATAAATGCTTAGCAATGTACAAATGAAGTGTCAACTTTAACTTTATCCAGTAATGAAATGACTAGTAACCGATCAGAGAAAATGATTACTCTCTAGTGTCATCTAGTGAGATTCATGTGGGTAGGTTTTGTTACGTATTTTGGATGCTGGAAAAGTGCTTTATAATAAGATCGGAATAGCTAACATGCATGGGTGTGGTGATAAATCAAAATAATATTTATGTTACCTATTTTGTATTGGCACAATTCTTTGAATTTTCAAGGTTTGTTAAATTTATCTGTTGAACACAACCCAATTTATATAGTTAATTTAGTTTTACAAAGTTGTCCATTGTCAACATTAACCAGCTCAGCACCAACCAATAACCGGAAGGAAAAATCAGTTTTTCCAATTCAACTTATAATGTTATGATTTGGTAAGACAGTGGTTATCTGCGAATATTTCGATTCATCCAAAAAATAGTAGTAATTCGTTATGTATCAGCTACTTACGACAGGTTCATAATTGTACTTGTTCCTACTAAGCCTCATTCAGAGCAATAGTGTGAAATAAGAAGTCTAATCAATAAATATTTCAGGAGAGAATGAGAGATTTGAAGACGCTTGCACTGATATCTTGAAGAGATTTCCAACTTTCAAACATTTCAAAATGTTTGCACAAGCTGGGACAGGTCTCGCACTCAGTATCAATGAAATCTCAACAATTATTGAAGATAATGCAAGTTCTGTTGAAGATCAAAAGTTTGAGATGCTTCAACTTTGGAAAGAAAAAAACGGTAAATATTTGTTTGTTTTCCATAAACGAGGTAGGTTTGTGGGAAAGTTTTGATCAGTTGCGTGTATAAGGTTTTGCTTGAAACGAAATGTGAGAAACACATCATTCCAGTTTTACATAGCGTTGAGTAACCTCATTGACTTGTGAAGTCGTAGGTCTACGTGTATTGCTGGCATTGAAATCGGAGACATGGTTACTACTCACCACAGCCTCAGAGTCGCGTTTCGTGATTCTAAAAGTGGGGAGTGGGAAACTCAAGCTATTGCAGTTTTCTGGAATTGATAAGAATGTAAAACGTTATTTAATCTCGCAGCCCAAGTCAAAGATTTCACAATCAGGACTTGAGAGCCATAGTCAAGTCAGAGTCATGATTCATTTGTGGAATCAACCTGATGATGGATTTTCACAATAAAATTGAAATATTTACTCATAAATTGGTCATATTTTCTCTGTATTTCAGGATCAAATGCAACATCCAGATATATCAGAGAGGTTGTTGAGAAACATCTCAAGGCAGAGAATAGTGGTGTCACCGGTAAGTTTACTTCATGATCTGTTTCACAACTTTGTGTCATACAAAGTTCTAGACAAGCATTTTAAAAATACTTTCCATTTGGGTCAGATCCCAAGAGTTATTAGAAATTGGTTCTGTATCCAACATCTTAAATAGTGGTGGGCATGGGACTTATATCCCAGATCTCAAGAGGTGGTTAGCATGGGGTTTATATCTGAGATGTCGAGAGGTGGTTAGCATGGGGTTTGTGTCCCAGATCTCTAGAAGGGGTGGGCATGGGGTTTGTATCAGAGATTTCTAGAGGTGGTGGGCATGGGGTTAGTATCAGAGATTTCTAGAGGTTGTGGGCATAGGGTTTATATCTGAGATATCGAAAGATGGTGGGCATGTGGTTTATATCTGAGATATCGAGAGGTGGTGGGCATGGGGTTTATATCTGAGATGTCGAGAGGTGGTTAGCATGGGGTTTGTGTCCCAGATCTCTAGAAGGGGTGGGCATGGGGTTTGTATCAGAGATTTCTAGAGGTGGTGGGCATGGGGTTAGTATCAGAGATTTCTAGAGGGGGTGGGCATAGGGTTAGTATCAGAGATTTCTAGAGGTGGTGGGCATGGGGTTAGTATCTGAAATCTTCATAGTTGATGGGCACGAGGCTTATATTTAAATACATCCAAATGTAGCGAGAATAGGGGTTCGTATTTATTCTGGTTTTCCTTCCAACAGGTTCCAGAATCGAAGATGCTTTTCTGGATGTTCCAAAAGTCTTTGCCAACGCTGCGCAGTTCAAAAGATTTGCATTGTCTAGGAAAGGTTTATCGCTCAGTATGCTGGAAGTCGAAAACATAAAGGACAATGCAAGATCTGTTGAAGAAAGGAATCTGCAAATGTTGACTCAGTGGAAATACAAGAATGGTGAGTATTGAAAGTTTACCTTAATGTCTACTATTTAGACCAAAGGTGTGCATACTGTTCATTCAACATTTTTAGTCGTTGGGGCATATACCCAACTTTAGACATATTGTTTGGCCCCACAAAAAATTCTCACAATGCAAAATTTTATTTATTTAGCAATTTCGCCGGACACACGTTTGTTCAAAATTTTTCATTTTTTTTTTCTTTTTAAATTCATTTCATGCAGGTGAATCAGCAACAACTGAAAAAATTTGGCAACTAGTAGATGGTTTCCTGAATGAAAGAGATGAATCTGACCAAGGTACTGATAACTTTAGACATAGGTGTATCTGTAGCAGGCAATGCAGGGCAATGTGAGGTATGAATGCAATTCTATCATTCCACACTATTTGTCAGCCGTTGGTATACAGCTTGTGAAGAAATAGGCAAAATTGCTCTGCGGACGTGCACTTATTGAGTTCTTTAAATGTTTCTAGTTAACATATTGTGGTCGTGCCAAACTTTTCTGCTGCCCGAGGCGTGTTTCTCATAATGATGCCTCTGATACCACACTTCAAATATAATTTGGGGGCTAAACAAGTTATGTTATACACGAAGATAAATTAATTGAATATCAAGTAAATGGACAGGTTTGCATTATTAATCAACAAACAAACTTGTATAAGGAAGCGCCCTCCTCTAGGATAACCCTTGATTGTGTATAACATATATTGAAACATGAGTAACCTTGAAATATTGCTATGTAGTTTGAACATTATTTCTGAACAGATTCTCCTCATCCAACAACACTCGCGCAATCTGTGGAAGAGGAGAGAGTGTCTAATGTTCCACTCAGTTCATCTCTATCTCAATCAGCCGATCAACTCCCAAAGTCAGAAGGGCCACCTGGAGGTGAAGGTAGGATTGAGTATCGTATTTCAAGAACCATAGGGGGCACCGGGTTATAAAGCGCACACTAAATAAAGTGCTTAGAGTGAGGTTTTGTTCATACATAAGGCGCACATATATTGTTCAAATATATTAGAGTAAAGGCAGTGTTGAATAATATTAAAAAATTTGTTAGATATGATTTTTCAAAAAACTATAAAACAATTATTATAATGTTGCATCCTCAATTTTTGTTCAGTTGCACGATGTGAAGAACCGAAAAGACTGTCCAGTGTTCCATCACCTCAACTGGGTGCATCTCCATTTGGTTCCCAATCATCTGAACCGCTTATGGATCCACGAGGGGCAACTGGAGGAGAAGGTAGTTTTTTGCAGAGATAAAGGACTGAATCATTGAGGGACCTAAAGTGAAATAAGCCAAAAATGAAATATTTGAAAAAAATTGTTATATGTGAATTCATCTTACATACATAGTGTATATATATAGTGTAGTCTTACATACCAAGTTCTGGATACAAAGTTTAAATCTTAGTCTTGAATCAAGCCGAGTCATTTCTTTAGTATGACGAAATCCTGATCATTAAATCTGAAGTCAATTTCAGTCACTAGTGAGTCTGAGTCATGAACAACAAAGAAATGTGTATATATGGGACCCATTGAAAACTTTAGAAAAAACAACACTATTTATAAAATCGAAAAGTATAATTTAACTTAGTAAATCGTGTTTCATCGAAATTTTCTCTTAAGCAAGGACTCATTGAAGTCCTCTCTAAGTCAAGTCTCTAGGTCATTTAGACAAGTTCAAGTTATGTGAGATAACTGCTGAAATATTTATTCTAACCCAAAGGTTACTGGTTTTTAATTAATGAATTTTTTTTCCTTTTATAGCTGCAAGTGGCTCTGGAAGTATGACACTCTCTGGCGCACATGAACATCAGGGAACATCCGCTACTGGTAATATTATCAAGAGTTTTGCATTGGTTTCCAAGCATGCAGTCGTTTATTATACCTTTATCATTCGGTTCCTGCACTTTATTGCCCACTTCATATGCTTACTCTAACCATTTCCCTAAGGTTTTATATCTATACTAACCCAGAACATCCCATGAATCCAACTTCATATGCTTACTCTAACCATTTCCCTAAGGTTTTATATCTATACTAACCCAGAACATCCCATGAATCCAACTTCATATGCTTACTCTAACCATTTCCCTAAGGTTTTATATCTATACTAACCCAGAACATCCCATGAATCCCACTTCATATGCTTACTCTAACCATTTCCCTAAGGTTTTATATCTATACTAACCCAGAACATCCCATGAATCCAACTTCATATGTTTACTCTAACCATTTCCCTAAGGTTTTATATCTATACTAACCCAGAACATCCCATGAATCCAACTTCATATGCTTACTCTAACCATTTCCCTAAGGTTTTATATCTATACTAACCCAGAACATACCATGAATCCCACTTCATATGCTTACTCTAACCATTTCCCTAAGGTTTTATATCTATACTAACCCAGAACATCCCATGAATCCCACTTCATATGCTCACTCTAACCATTTCCCTAAGGTTTTATATCTATACTAACCCAGAACATCCCATGAATCCCACTTCATATGCTTACTCTAACCATTTCCCTAAGGTTTTATATCTATACTAACCCAGAACATCCCACGAATCCCACTTCATATGCTTACTCTAACCATTTCCCTAAGGTTTTATATCTATACTAACCCAGAACATCCCATGAATCCCACTTCATATGCTTACTCTAACCATTTCCCTAAGGTTTTATATCTATACTAACCCAGAACATCCCACGAATCCCACTTCATATGCTTACTCTAACCATTTTCCTAAGGATTTATATCTATCCTAACCCAGAACATACCACGAATCCCACTTCATATGCTTTCTCTCTAACCATTTGCCTAAGGTGTTATATCTATACTAAACCTGAATATACCATGCATTCCTCTTCATAAGCTAAATCTAACTAATTGCGTTAATTTTGGTATTTCAACTCATCTTTATATTTTTTCAGTTACAGTAGCAGGCAGCCAGATTGGTCAAGCTCACCTCGGAGAACAAAACATCTCAACACAACAGATCTGTGAATTACTTGTTTTTGTAATCCCAAATATCCTAGGCCATCTGTACTAAACAGGCAGAACAAACCATTGTTTCAAATCACCACGTCATTTTGAGGGTTTCTGTGTTTTCAATGATTATGGGTCAGCAATATCCTGGCAAAAATAAGAATTTTCAGATAAAATTTCGAAAGAACATACAGTTGGAGTTTGCCAAATCGCTTTGATTTATTCAGATTTTTGCATAGTTGGTTCTAATCAGATTTTCACTTTTTGAGTTTTCCAGATCGCGTTACCTATATATCACTAATTTCAAAACCAATATACCAAAGATGTCTTCCACCCAATAAAACATATCAGACCAAGTAACCTGTTTAGTCGTTTCTATGAAATATAAAAGCCAAAGGAATTTACTCCAATAATTGCAGATTTGGTGAGAATAAAAATTAACAAGTAAATAAATTTTCCGTTCCAGTTATATTCAGGGAATTTAGAATATGATTCTATCCTATTTATAGTTGGTACATTGTTAACTCCTTGAAGCATCCTATATTTTGTCCCATAACATTATCATTATACTTCAACTCAAAGGCTTTTTCGAGAATAATATTTCACATGATAAAGTAAAGCCATGACTGTAAACTGAATCCATATTTCTATTGTTTCAGTTCATACAACAAACATCCATCACCATTACACTCCTGATCGCCATAGACGCTCTGACACTCAACCAACCAATACATCAAGTAAGCAGGAAGCAGCTATAGGAGGGGGGAGTTATACAGGTCAGTTGATATAACTAGACCCCAGGGGTAGGGGGGGGGGTTGGGGGGGGGGGGGGGGGGGTAGTGGATCATCAGGTAAAATATTGTACCTGCATAACTCTGGAAAGCTCTCATTTCTAGAAATCCATATGGTGCAGTAGCATCACTGAGCTGTATCGTTGTATAATAGACGATCAATTCTTAGAATTTTGGTTAGTACTGCGATTAGTTACATAAATTTCTAAATCATACCTATTGAGGTTTATTTTAGTGATAAATGTTGTGGGCACGCTTTTGTGTTGCCAAGTCATTCTTTCCTTGAAGATTTGAAATTTCCAATTTGGATTTTGGATTTTTTAGTTTCCATAAAAATTGGCTTGTTGTGCTCTTTTGAAAAGAATATATGTCTTTCCTTATGTTTGTTACTTTTCTAACAAAGCTATCCTGTTTCCATCAAGATCTTATTAACGCATTTCCTATAAATTATTTTTATAAAAGTCCCTACAGAAAGCTGTGCCATTTGCAAATAGGCTGTGATGAATCGTATGAAATCTCTTTTTTAAAATCCAACTTTTAAATAAAAGTGTGTGATGGGCTGTTGAGACTAAATTATTTCCATAAATACTTTGTAATTCCCTACTGAATAGGTTATGCTGATCTATCAATGAAACAAGACAAAAATATACACAACGTACTAATGCCAAATTTTTTTTTGTTTCATGTCACAGAAAAAGTCCAAGAATTCAAGCATGCCATCAACGATTTAACTAGGAGAAGTGCAAAGCCCATCGAAAAGAAGTATCTCAAAACCCCCGATTTCAGAACCAATCCCAAAACAGTAAAAGTTAACTATTACGAAACCACAGTACAAGAATCTGAGTACAAACCAGAAGTGGGTTTCAGTCAGCAAACTCAGAAGCAACCTGGCAACCCAATATCCATGGAGAACTTTTTCTCAGATGGAAAATCAAGAGTTGCTCTGATAGGAGGAGCTGGATATGGTAAAACTGAAATGACAAAAACATACCCCGTTAAAGTGCTTGATGGCAAGATACCAGAGCTTAGAAAGGTTGAGGTTGTTCATCGCATGAAACTTCCGAGATCTTGAGGTTCATAGAAAAATTAGCCCAAAAAATTTCTTATTTGGCAAAACGGATTTGAATGACGATGTCATCGACATGGGTGTTGGATGGATCAGGGAATATCCTGAAAGGTTTCTTCTCGTTCTTGATGGAGCTGATCAATATTCTTCTCCCGAAAGTCTTGGAAACCCACATGGCAAATGCAATCATAAAAGAGGAAGCAGATCCCAAGCTTATTCTAAACCTCATCCTCGCTGGCAAGCTCTACCCAGGCATTCGCATTCTTTACTCCTCACGTGAGCATGTCATTCGAAATTTTGAAGGAGAGGCCCGTCCCGAGAGAGTCGTCGCATTGGCAGGGTTCTCTGAAGAAGACGTCATAAAACTTGTCAAAGCTTTCAGTGGAGACAAGAGTGCCTATGTCATGAATCGTCTGCGGAATGAAGCTAAGGCTATCTTCTCCTATGCTCCATACCAATGTTCCTCATTTTCACGGTATCAGTCTTGATAATCTATGAACAATATAGTCCCGACACAATGACAGAAATTTTGTTGTTTGTCCTGCGTGACACCTTAAGATCCGAACATATCACCATGAACCAAATGAAAACTGGAATGTCTATCTATGACGTCGTTCACAGCTTGAAGGAAATGTCATTCAAGGGCACAAAAAACAAGAAAGTTACTTTCACCAAATCAGATTTACCCCCAGGAATTACTGTGGATCATTTCAAAGATATCATGGTACCATTTCCTGGATCAATCGGGCTCAATCAAAGGCTTCTGGAAGGACATTTTGTATATTTATTTACGCATCAGACAATCCAAGTAGGTGAATTAGGTCCACTAGGTGGGGTGTTAGGGTACAATATTATATATATCTAGCACAGTAATGTATGAAACCAATTTTTAAATCTAATCCTCTCAGTTCATCCGTGAAAAGATTTTAGTTTGAAGTGATTTTTAATCAAACCACGAAGGCAAAAATTGCATTCAAAAAATGTATCTGGGTAAATAAATCTACTTGGTTTCATTTGAATTATTGCTTAGGTATGATTGTAAATAAAACTCGTTTCTTGGTTTTTAATATTTCATTGCTCAATTTTTTTTTGCTTTAACAGGAGGCCCTCACTGCCCTCCACATTGCTGAAATACCTATTGAAGATTTCGAAAAGTTTGTTTCAACCGAAATCCATAAAAAGCATTGGGTCGTAGTTCGTCAATTCCTATGCGGCATTATACTCAACCCTAAAACATCCAAAATTGCAATGGAAAAAGAAGCTGATGTCAGCATTTTGAAGCACGGTAAGTTTTCTATCATAGACTAGTGCAGAGGTCGGCAACCTTTTGAACTCAGCGTGCCTTTTCATGAATAATGAGCACCTTCGCGTAGCAAACATTTTTTTGTGTTTGGTGTGCATAGCCAACTGCCTGATTTGATTAGTAAGAGGATGAAAAACAAATTTATTTTGTATACGATAACGTGCATGGACTTTCGACATGTCTTTGCATGACTTAGGTAATAGATATGAAGGCCACTTACGATTAGTTTTGTAGCCAGTTCTGTGAAGCAACAATACTAATGAATAGAAAACTTACTCCATCATGTAACTCTTGCTGAAATGAGGAAAGTTTTTGCTTTCATGAGGTACTCAGTCAGCCAGGCACACAGCAAGGGTTTTCAAAAAAAAAGGGGGGGGGACAAAATCGGCAATTTTCATTCCCTTCTGAAAAAGTTGCCGCGATTACGCGCTCGTGAAAAGAGCCGACTTTTTCAGCGTATACCGACTTTTCTGTCGCATAAAATATTGTATTTACAGCTACAAGGAATTTATAGAATTTTCTTCAAAATATAAACATTACTAATCTAAAATACAGCTCAATCTGTTGACATAAAAATATGAAATAAACATGCCTAATTGTATTCAGTTTCGATACTTTTTTCTGATTTTGCGAATTCGTTATCGCCGTTAGAATAACCTTCTGTAATGAAAATGCCATATAGTACAATGAAATACATATATAAGTATATCAGTAAGTCAAAAATACATTTTTCGACGGATAATAATGATTTTTTTGGTGTGCAAAGTAATCAATCCATAACCGATACGCCATATTTAAAATGTCTTGCTTTATTATAATTTACTTGTCTTTATTTAACCTGCGGTTGTGTCGACAAAATAAATGCCTCAGAACCCTGAAATACCACAGCAATCCGCGCCCCGCGGGCGTAAAAATGTGTGGTAAACTTTCCGGTTGTATCTAAATTTGATCAGTAATTTTGCCATTTTGGGAATTCTACAAATCTGCTCTATCGAAATGCTGCCACTCAGATTATTTTTAAGATGAAACTTTTAGAAAAATCCCTAAGTCTGCTATAAAATTCCACATAGTAAAATTTATTTTAGTGCAATAAAAATTGATTGAATATACTTTAATTAATTATCTTATATATCACCACGACTCGGGAAAACGTTGCGTTTCCAACCTTATAATATGAATCGTATAATATAACACAAAAAATTTCCGACGGCAATTTAAGTAACGGATGAAAATGCAAAATCCGCTCACAATTAACAGTGTTTCCATTCTAATGACGTTATGATTCTCAACGCCGCCCAAACTAATGTGAAATTTTGCAATTTACAATGCCTAGAGAAGCATATTTCAATATGTCGCAGACAATTGTTCATGGTTCATGGTCACAACCAATTGTTCATGGTTTTATTTTTAGTATTTTATAATGCCGCTTTTCAATCAAAAAATTTGAGTTGCCACTTCACCTTTTATTTTACTTTAGCATCTCGCTGCCGATGATTGTATATTAACTCTCAGCGAATTCACAATTCTGGGAGTGATCAAAAAGAAAGTAATTATTATCGTTGTCGTTGAATAATTTTTGTGATTCAGGAAGAGCAAACACCAACTTAAAAGTGTTTACGGCCTAAATAACACGTCACGCTTTCAAAAACAATCGGCGATTTTAGCAAAAAGCTGCAAAAGTATAAATTAATGAACTTTAATACTCAAAATTTCACGATTTTTAAAGGGCAAAAAGTAACCCAACAGTAGTATAAAGAGTTCAAGTAGCAAAGCGTTTCTAAACGTAGCCAAATCTGGCAACACTGCACCACTCATGCTCATCTACACTGATTTCTCGTACAGATTTCGACCTCTGATTCATTGCTTTTCTGAAAGTAGCGAAATGCGGCAACCCTTCACCGCACACTCTTTTCTACACTGATTTCACGTACAGATTTCGGCCTCTCGTCGATTGCCTCAAATATTGCATGTTTTTTCTGTTATTATTATATTTTTGTTATTATATTTTTGTTATTTTTTGTCTAAACGTAGAATGTTTGTCGCACTATGAAAATAAATATCTAAATCTCCCTCAAATTACTTGGCGTGGAATGAAAATTCTTCTCGCGTTCCACAATTGGCACGTGTGCCAGGGGTTGTCGACCTCTGGTCTAGTGTTTCTAAACAATTCAAAAAAAGTTTATAATTTACATTAATTTCATTGTAGTCGAACAACACCAAATTTTACTGGTCACGTGGGAAAAGCAATATTTGAGGTTTCCAGTTTGTTTCTTAATTAAACCACGATGCCTGTACTAAGTATGGTATATTGCAGCAGAGTGGTATCGACAACTCTTATAGTCGATGCGCCGCACTGTCAAGCCTTTAGTTTGATATAAATCCCATCATTACCAATTACCTATTTATAGTAAAGCTCGCCACAGTAATTTTCAACAAATTCACCTGAAGATTTAACCCAGATGAAGTCATTCAACTGAGCTCTTAGGTTCTAGATTTCTATAGTATTGCCAGTATGTGGGCAGAAGAGTGTGGATCGTCTATTGCAGAAAAATCCTATTTTGGCCTGGTGTTGTCGACACAATTAAATTCTTATTCTTTGGTGAAGAATGCGAAAGC